TATTAGCATAACACTTCCTTTCACACCTCCACGCGGACGACCCCATTTCAAGTTGTTTATGGTCGAGCTCCCCCTTCGCTGCTGCGTTGTGGGGTTGGTGCATCGCCCGTGGAGTCCGTGGAATGGCAGTTGATGGACCGGGATGCTATGTTGGATCTCCTTAAGTTTCACCTCCTGCGAGCTCAACAGAAAATGAAGGTTGTGGTGGACAGTAGACGCCACGATGTCCAGTTTGCCATTGGTGATTTGGTGTACCTTAAGCTTCGGCCATATCGCCAAGCTTCCCTAGCCCGCCGACGCAATGAAAAATTAAGTCTCTGTTTTTATGGTCATTATGAGGTTACAGGACGAGTTGATCCTGTGGCTTATCGCCTTGCCTTGCCCGCGGGCGCCACCATCCACCCGGTGTTCCATGTTTGCCAACTTCATCGGGCAGTCAGCCAGGACCAGGCAGTGTCCCAGTTACCCCCTCAGGTGGTACCAGCCGCTCTGATGGGGGTGCGCCAGCGGCTCCATGGTAGACGTACGGACTTGGAGGTGCTGCTTCGCTGGGGCAATTTGCCAGAGCATGAAGCCTCTTGGGAATCGTATGATGTTGTGAATGCCTAGTTCCCTAATTTTTACCTTGAGGACAAAGTGCGTCTTTAAGGCGGGGGTAATGATAAGCCTCTTGTGCGTTTCACATATGCTCGAAAGAGGCGCAAGGGGGTATTCAGTGAAGGGCCATGGGGGAAAGCTGAGTCAGCAAGTCAGCTTGTGGATGAAACGCCAAATGGGATGGCTGAGTCAGCGTGTCATCAAGTAGTAGACCAGCAAAGTAGTTAAAGGGCGGGAAGTTAGTTAGGCTGGGGTTTGTAAAGGGAATATAGGTAGGTGTATAAATAAGACAGAGGTAGGTTATAAGAGGATTATTCCAGTTTGTTATTCTTTCACAAGAAGTTTGTTAGGAGAGCACGGAATCTCTTGAAAATCCCCATACCGTTCTTAACTCAACTTTGTCCGCCATTGTTGAATTCGGTTTCCAGTAATACTAATTCTCTTTCGATTAGCCAATTTCTTTGACAATTGGTTTCGGAGCTTATCAGCATACATAATCATGTTCATGTTCATGCTTTTTGACAGCGTGTATGGTATTAAAGTAAAGCATACTTTTTTGCTCCATGCTCATGTTACTGTGATTATTTGGTCAATTGGAACTTATGTAATGTTAAAAGTTTTATCCGTTTCATTCCCCATAGGCTGTTTGTTGCTAATATCTGGTTCTCCATTGAATTTCAGAGCAGTTTGTCATAGTTGGTAGATTTAATTTTGCCTGTTTCATTATCATTCAAACTGTGCAATAGGTTGTTTCTGCCACTTTGATTGTATGAAATGGTTATGACTTTGGGGGACATTTAGTTATTATACTATTTGCATGTGTTATGACATTATATTAGCAATGGTTCTTTAGCATCCACCGTAAATTGTTTTGTATGGTCAACCGCTGCATTGAGCTTTGATCTATTAAGCTTTCATGAAGAAGCGATTACATTTACCATTTATGAAACTGAAGTGATTGGACAAAGGACACTATTGCAGACAAGGTAGCTACATGTGTGGAGATGGAAGCATTTGCTTGCATTATTCACACACAAACTCTTTTCGTGTGGGGATTGACCAAATGTATGCGTAGATGCAATTCACTATATTTTGTAGTACCTTAGAAATTTAATGCTTCTTTGACATCCTATCGTCTTACTAGGTTTGGATTTGATTAAGCAATGAAAATGTTCTTGTCTGTTGTGCCACTATCGCACATGCTTTGCATTTTTTGTTGTGCAGTTTGTGCTTGATGAGTGGACCTTAGCCATACTCTTTGTGTTTGGACACGATGCATAACTCAGGTTTTGACTTATGTATGTTGGCGTCGGCAATTGGAGGCCAGCATAATCTTTCAGACTATGGATCATAGTTTGAAAGACTAGGTCATAGTCTGCGTAACCTGACTAATTATGGGTCATAATCTGACAGATTATGTCAGTTGACTGCACAATCTAACAGACTATGACCAGTCGGCGATCGAAGACCTGCCGGCTGACATAACCTGTCAGATTATGAGTCATAGTTTGACACTTTATGGATCATAGTTTGAGAAACTATGGGTCATAATCTGACAGACTATAGGTGGCCGGCCACTGGAGACTCGTCAGCTAGTGGAGACCCGTCAGCCATATAACCTAATAGACTATGGATCATAGCCTGACAGACTATGGCTAGCCGGCGATCAAAGACCCTCTAGTCGTCATTACTTGTCAGACTGTGATCATAGTTTGTGTGAGAAACTATGGTCATAATCTGACAGACTATGGATGGCTCTAGCATAACTTGTCAGATTATGACCCATAGTCTGACAATGTAGTAATTTTACAAATCAAATCAATTCTTCCATCATTTCTTTTTAATATCAAACAAGATAGAAGGATAACAACAATTATTCATTTCTATCATACTAAATAATTTTGAGGATAATTACAATTCATGTCTCTTTTTTTTACTCCACTTCCCTCATATCTTATATATCTTTCTATTAATCCATCCTTCTTACCAAACGGATCATAAAAATTTGGCAATCTTTACTGCAGGACACGCTTAAAAATTAGGCGAAAAAAGGTTGAGCAGCTACAGTACTCTGCACCGATATTCCCAAAAAAAAGGGAACACCAAATAAATTCCCTAAAAAAATCATATAGGGTTATTTTATGCTATCGGGACACTTTTTCATGGTACCGTGCCAGGAGATATGATAATTTGTGAAATTTTATGTTAGAACTTGCAAACTCAAACTATAAAGTTACAAATTCGAACAATAATTTGTGAAATTTTGACTTTTACGATTAATCGTTTGAGTTTGCAAGTTCTAATGTAAATTATCGTAAAATTCAAATTTAACAACTTATCTTAACTACTACCATTTTATTGTTTGAGTTTGTAAATTTTAACGTAAAATTTCATAAATTATTATATCTCCCAACATAATATGGGGAATATTTCCCCGATAGAATAAAAGAATCCATATATTTTAGTGTATATTGATACATATATATAGCTTATATTTAGAGAAAAACAAGAAGACATCTGGTGTATAATATCCCAACATTTCTCTTCCTTGTAAGTTGTATATATATTTATTGAACGATTGTTTAACGTTTTTATTAGTGGTTACTATTAAATATAGAAATTTGATGACGTGGTATAGTAAGAATCCAATTCTATCAATTGTAATAATTTTTTTTTTGGTCAACTATATAATTTATTATAACCATCTTTAGTCAGCTAGATAATTTATTACAACCGTCGGATTAATATCTTATGGTTAAAAATAATGATACTCATTGATGAATAAATATTAGAGTAATCATTAAAACCACGTCCTTATTCGTTCTTTTCTCTCTCGTCTAGTTATACTAAGTGTGAAATTCTTACTATATATTAAATTATAATAAGCAAAATAAAATTTATACCTATCAAGCATTGTTATAACTTAGAATTCGTGCCATACAAAATTATCATATATTCTTACAAAAATAATCAGTTTTATCTAGTGGGTGTTTGGTTTATAGATTCATAATTATTTTCGGGTTACGTGTGTTTTTTGTAAGAGAAAATACTGTAACGAATCACAAACCATGATTCGAATCATAGCACGAATCCACCAACCAAACGCACTCATTTTTCTTATTAGTCTACTTTATAAACTCTGTGTTTCAATTTGTGTCGCCATTGGAATTAAATCTTGGCTTTGTCAATAGCCTACCATAGCCATGGCTTTAGTCCTTTTTCAGATCTAGAAAGATAGAATAAGAGAAGAATAACAACATACGCGAGAGAATCAAATTCAGATATTGTCAGACCTAGAAAAATATTAGTTTTTTTTTTTTTTTTTTTTTTTTTTTTTTTTTTTTTTTTTTTTTTTTTCATATTATGGCTTGGTAGATAGGAATGAAAGAGAGTAAGAGGTTTTTACAATTATTATTTTATGTATCTACTTTATATTATTTTATTTTGCAAAAAAAAACAAAAAAACAAAACAAAAAATAATTTTGATCATCATTATAAGATTTCCAGTTTTCCACTCAACACCACAACTATTATCCACATTATATTTTTCTTTCCCCGTCTCTTCTAATTACTTCTTACCATACAAGCTAAACTATAATTTTTCCATCCAATTACCCCTCCCACCACTTCTTAATTTCTTACGCTTCTCTATCCTAAGAAACATGTGTTAAGGTGAATTTTTTTTTGCTGAGGTGTAGGTTTTAGTTGATGTGGCATATCCTTTATTGGTGAACATGAATTGGGACACGATGCCGGGGACACCAAAAGCGTAGTTCTTATTAGATGACCTGACATAAACTTACTTAAGAGAAATTAATCAGCATGCACCCTATTGAGGACGGTTATTCTACTGTCAGTACAGAAATTTAAACTCTGTTCATTTTGTTAATTTAAATTATAAATCAAATTTTTACGACAATATCATTTTTTATAAAAATTTAAATTTAATTTTTTTATTACAATATCTCTCATATAAATTTTTAATTCAAATTATCAACTTAAGGAGTGAAATGAACTGACCAATTTCAAGTACAGAAGTCATCCAACAGACATAACCCGAAATAGTTGCACCACAAGGGAAAATATTTTTAAAAAGGAAACATATAAAGTAGTCCAAGGTACAATAAACGACTTAAAGAGTACTGTTAAGTCTTTATTTGATCTCATCAACTAATAGTTAATTATTACACGAACTCACAGATACTACGCATATTATATAATTGGCCTTTTATTTTAACTTCCATATTTATAATTAAGGCCATAACATGCATGATATTCTTATTTAATTTATTGCAAAAAAAAGATGATAACCACACCACTATGCAGTAGGCACTACACACACACACACACACACACACATATTATAGCATCTGTGAGAACTCTGCATGGCCGGGACTGTTCATTTATAGGGAGATCTTCAGCATCTGATCGGCTGGTGGTGGTTTATCGAAAACCCACTCTCCAGTGCTCTCGTCGTACTCCATACCTTTGTTCTTCTCAACCCACCAGAACTCCGGAACCTTGAGACTTTCAACGAGAAACCTGCACGACTTGTTCACCAAAGCCAAGCTTCTCTTCACCTTCGGAGTGTCAAACTTCTTGAACTGCCCATTCCACCACGCAACCACGTGCAAATTCGCCTCCAAGTTGTGAGCATCGCCGGCGGTTTCTAACGGCAATATCGACTTCGATTTCAAGTACGGGGACCTGTTCGTGTCGATCTCCAGATCAGCCGTCTGTATAGGGATGTAAACGGGGAATATCCAATCAGGCGTGTCCGGCACTTTGTCCCTGATGTTGTGGATATGCAAAATCTTGAGCTTTGGGTTACTGTCCACCAATTCCTTGAACTCCACGTTACCGACTTGGGGACACCCGAAGACGACGGCCGAGACGAGGACGTCGTCGCCGGCGATTTTGTTTTCGGCAATATCGAAAGCGCTCAGAGTCGCCATGGATCCTCCAAGGCTATGCCCAGTCACCACCACGCTTAGTTTCTCGCCCTTGTACTTTTTGCGTATCTCTTGAATCGCTCTATGGAGTTGGTCCCTCGCGCTTGCCGTCGTGTAGATAGAATTCAAGTTCGTCGAGGTGTAAATCGAGAGCCAGCCACCGTGGACTTTGGGCTCGTCTTTTAGCGGAATTCCAAAAAAATTGGGGCGATCCGTCGTCTGCCTGTCAGAAGCAAGCAGAGGCTTTGCCGGCTCGGGGCCTGTCTGGAAGAGGTTGCTTGTCCATTCGGAAGTGGTGATTGTTCCACGCCAGACGACATAAACCTCGCGGCGGCCGATGGCTTGGCTGATCTTGTCAGTGGTAACGGCCACAAAGCCCATCCAGTTAGACTGGCGGTCCCACGGCTCGAGTTCCGTGTTGGCTGAGAAGAGGAAGAGTTTCTTCTTCGTGTCGCCAATGCCAGAGGTGGCGTAGAGGAAGGCGACGACTTGGTAATTGGAGGCGTCTTGGAGGACGACGTCGTGGAAAAAGGTCTCCTCGCCGTAGCGGGAGTTTCCGCAGTTGGGGGAGATAGGGTTCGAGTTGAAGGCGTCGTAGGTGGCCTCGCAGAAGTTTCCGCAGCGGAGGATGAACTCGCGGAGGCTCAGGTTGAGCTCCGGCTCCAGAAGGGCCTCCCAGTTGTTGCTGCCCAAGAGTTCTTCCCAAGACACATTGGATTTGGTAGGGGTGGCTGTTGCGGTCGCAGACATTTTGGAGAATGTTTGAGTTGTAAGAGCGTTGGATATGAGTTATATATGTGTATAATGTTGTATATGCAAGTACTGATGGGTGAATTGCAATTCATGCAACTCGCTCTTTATATAGACGTCGAGCTGCCATTGAAGAGGTGGTCAAATTTAGTTTATGTTTATTTTTCGAGGGAATTTGGATATTAGTCCCTTTTTTTTCTACACGTTTATTTGTCTTTCAGCACGATGAGAATCCCTATTGCTAATAGATATGAAAAGACATTAATTTGTTAACATCTTCTGTGAGATTGATATTTCGTTTACAGATTGATCCTATAATTCCTATCTAGTCTTGGCCAACTGCGCTTCCATACATGCATATATGCTTGAAATTATCCTTCCTTTTCGGCATAAAATGATTTTTTTTTTTTTAACATCAGATAGAGCTTCAGGGAATAACAAGTAGGTGTTGGAAAGTCCACAAATTTTATTGAGTATTTAATTTATTTTCGATATACAACTATTTTGATTCCGCGAAGGAATGTCAGAACTAATAGCTAGCTAGCTAGCTATATATGTATGTATATATAAAAGAAACTTGGTACAGAGCTTATATGAGTACTAGTCATGCATGGCTCGTCGTAAATGATAATTTTAGATTTAGACGAGAGGAATGATCAAATAGAAAACTTGTGAGAAACGTAACAAATATGACAGTAATATTTAGTAATTTCCTGAACTCTGCTTTTCATTAGACTTCAGATTATAATACAAGCTGGCATAATATGATTTGATAAGACATATAAATGCGGTGTGAATGTATGTATGGTATTGTTACTTTGTTCCATTAAAAAAAAAAAAGAGAAAAACATTGTGGACGATATGTTGGTAAAAATAAGTGGTGGACAATGGATGTATTTTCTATTTTTATTTTTATTTGATAACCGGACTAAGGATGTATTACGGGGAAAGCATGCGGAGATCTGGAAAACAAAACAGTCCCTTGTTTATCAGCCTTGCTTGTCTTTATATGTCAATTTCAATTTGCGCAAAATAATTTATATCATTTTTTCTTTTGCATAAAATAGCAATATACATGAGTTTGATCGCACAGCAGTACGTTTCGAGCAACCTATCTTGTCTTACTTTCATCTCCCATACTTCAAGAAGCGGCACGTCACATGGCAACCTTAATTTGAGAAGAATTTTACTATACCTCTGTGTTAATTAGTCGTCACGGTCAACTGAAAACATACGGATAATTACAAAAAGACGGGACAAAATTTTTAGAAAGAGTACAAAGAATAGGGATAGAAAGCAAACGCATACTTACCACGTGAGGAATAGCTATAAAAGTGTAACTACCAATATATGGATTTGTGCGTGCGTGCATATGTAAGTATATGTAAGTATATGAGATTCCAGCCACAATAGCAAGCCTAACAAAAGAGAAATAAAGTAATCGACAAACAATCGGGAATAAACATCAGAATTATTTATATATTTTGAAACCCTTTGTTCTCGAGCATAAAGACTGTAGGGATCTTTTTATTTTTATTTTTATTTTTATTTTATTTTTTTAGAATTAGTGGTCACGCCTTTACGCAGCTTATTTAGTTCCGCCAATTTATCTCAGAGCCCTAAAACCATTAACTCCATTTAATTCCGAGTAAAATGGATAATTACTGATTTTCTCTTCTGACTGGGCGTCAAATTATCAGTAGCCGTAGTTGTATAATTGCTATGTTGCTTACTGTTACGTTGTTTTCTTCATTTAACGGGTGTCAATGCTCCTTTTGCTTCCTTAATTTGATCAAACACAGATATTCTAGCTACTGTATTGGCAGCTTCTTCCGTACAATAGACCGTATAGGTGTTGGAACGTCCACAAATTTTATTATGAGTACTAGTTAATTTATTTTCGGTATACAACTATTTTAATACAACGAGGGTAATGCTAGAACTAATAGCTAGCTAGCTAGACCAGGGTTGTATTACGTGCACACCCATTATTCATGCTATTTGTTTTATAAATGTATATATGTACATATAACAATAAACTTGGCGTAGAAATCTATATGAGTACCAGTCAAACATATACTGATATGCATGCTCGTCGTAAATGATAACTTTAGGAGCAAGGAATAATCAAATCGAAAAATAATGAGAAACGTAACACTTTCCCGAACTTTGCTGATATATTGGACTTCAGAGTATAATACAAGGCATAATATGATTGATAGAAATATAAATATTAATGTGTGAATGCATGGCACTGTTAAAATATAAGTTTACATTGTAAATTTTCCTGGAACAGTTTGTTGCATATAAAACTCATTGTGGACGATATGATGGGTAAACTATGTATTTCTTATTTACTGATAGGCAATGGGAAAGCATGCGTTTATCTGGAAAACAAAACAATCCCTTTTTATTTATCAGCCTCGTTTGTCTTTTCATATATCAATTTATATGCCTAAAATAATTTACACTTTTTTTTTTTTTTTTGGTGCATAAAATACAAACATACAAGTGTTTGATCGCAGAGTAGTATCGATCTACCTACCTTGTGTTACTTCATCAACCATACGTTCAAGACGCGGCAGGTCACATTTGAGAATGATTCTACTACACCCTTGTGTTAATTTAGCTGTCATGGTCAATTGGAAACGTACGAATAATAACCAAAATATGGGCCCAAATTTTAGGAAGGTTACAAAGAAGAGGGATACATATTAAACAAATACTTTAGCACGTGATAAATAACTATAAAACTATACAACTACCAATATATGGATTCTTGCATGCATATATATGCATATATATATATATATATGCATGCCTTTTCGTTTTTCCCCTTAGGATATAACGCGAGTAACACTTCCTAGCTAGCCCCACTCCGATTAATGTATTGGGCAGAGTTAAGTACTATAAGGTGACATGAGTAAAAATCGAATCCATTTAAGTAAAATTAGATCAAGTCTTTTTTATTTTATTTGTGGGCTTGAGATTTTTAAATTGATAAATTAATGGAATGGAGGAGGGGATAACAACAATAATCCTCATTTTCTCTTTTTGAATGAATGGAGAAATAAGAACGGAGTAAAGAGACTTAACACCTTCAAATTAAATTGAAACCTACTATAAGTAACTCAACCAAGCCCCACCCTATTTTATTAAGAAGATATATAGAAAAGTAAAAATAAAGAAGATTTAGAGTCCAATCACATACAGGATAATCTAACAAAAGAAAAATAAAGTAATCGACAACCCTACAGAAAAGGTTAAACAAAACAACTAGAAATAAAAATCGAAATCATTAATACATTTTGAAACCCTTTAACGCTTTCGAACACGAAGACCGTAGGAATCTCTCTCTAATAGTACTCGATTACTTAATGAGCAAAAGGATAGGTAGAAAAATCCGAATATGAACAAATAATTGGGAAGATCAACTAATAGTACTCGTTAAAAACCATGCTTGGATAGGTAGAAAAATCCAAACGAGGAAAAAAAAGAAAAGAAAAAGAGGCCACGATAAGACCTCAAGAAACATGTGAACCTCGTGATGCTAAGACAACTTAATGATTTTAGTTCTCCCTCTCTCCTTTTTTTTTTTTTTTTTTTTTCGCGAATCAATGATTTTAGTTGGTACGTTCCATATTGTCTCTCGCATGAGCTGCGCCGCGTAGAAACTTGAAGAAGAATGCAGCCAATCCTTGCTTTCATAAAATCCACTCACAACTAGTATAATATATTCTGCAAGTTTCTACGAGTAAATCCGAAAGCAGATGAGACTTAAGAAATTATTTAAGAAGTGATACATTGATAGATTTAAGAAGTTAATTTTTTATAGTATGCACATAAAATAAAACGAATAATCAGATGAGACTTATGAAGCGGGTATAATTAACAACGTTGTTGTTTAAAGCATTATATCCTAGTGTGTGTATATATATATATATAACTCTATATCATATGCATTGTCGGATTTAAATCATATAATTAAGGTCATTAATTGGTCGTGCGTGGTAGGCATAATATATGGAATTGCACACACAAAACGTTCTTATACTTTTACAAAATAGTTATGGTTAAAAGTTATAATTCCTTTAATGACATGTTATGAATGACTGAATTAGGCAACATTTTATAGTTGCACATATAGTCTAACAGTAGTTCAACACTTGACTTTACTATAAATTGAAGAGTTCTAATCCTCCACTTTAACTAAAAAAAAATAAAAAATAAAAATCTGGCAGCATTTTCTCAAAAGAATGTCTTTTTTAATTTAAATGGATATTCACCTTTTATGAACTAAAAATTATAGCAATGGACGCTTCAAAGATGCGCCAATGAATCAAGTGCCAATGTTGATAACTAGACGTTGTTATGTTTCTAACATAACATATAAATATTGTTTCTTTTATTAATACAATGTTCATTTAATTATTTTTTATATACATGACATACTCTAATAAGCTTTATTTTAGGATTTTAGTATCTGGAATTTCAAATGTTATATTAATAATTAGTCTAATTATCATGGTAGCATTTACTTGTGAATGAACTTTTCCAATAAAGACTATCTATTCTTATAAATTAAAGAATAGTTATCCTTCATTTGATGAGTATTCTTTCAATTTATTTTGATCTTTATTGTGGCAATTTTTAATTCAAAGTTCTTTCTTATGAGATCTTCGACACTAGCTTCCTAATACTATTTTCATTTTTCATTTTTTTTTTCCGCTTGCTTCCACGCCAATACAAATTCAACTAAAGCCTATGCGTAGACTTTTTGTTTATATATGAACCTTTTGTATTCAATACATCACTCTTGTAAACCCTAAGGCAACCTTTAATATATTCCGTTATCTCTTATTATCTCTTTCTTTTTCTTCCATCTCTATCACCAAAGAACATTAAACACAATATATATCTAAAGTCCTATATATCATACCAAATATTTCAAGGATTTCTACTTTCTTGTGGATTAAAGGGTTGATATTGAATCTTCCATT